CCCCCCTCCCCATCATCTGTGTGGCCAAGAGTCCAGTCCGGTGATTTGTTGGGGTGGGGGGGGGTTGATGGTGTCACCCCAAATCCCCCCCAATTACACCCCATTTTTTTGGCCGCCGTGGGGGGAAAATAAACCCCCCCACACCCCCTTCATCCCCTCGGGGGGGGTTTTGGGGGGGTTTTAACCCCCCCCACGGCGGCGCCGGGGTTAGCAGGGACAGTGGGGTCTCTCGGCTCGTTCCTGGGGGGGGTTTTTGCGACAGGGCTCCATGGTGATGGCCACCCCCACCCCGCTGCGCCCCGACGTCATCCTGGTCACCTCCGTCCAGGCGTCGGTCACCGGGTCGTAACACTCCACCGAGTCCAGGAACGTGTGGCCGTCGTAGCCCCCTGCCCCCCAAAAAATTAAGATTTTTGAGGTTATATCATCATAAAATTGCCCAGGTCGGAAGGGACCTTCAAGGTCATCTCGTCCCACCCCCCCAAACTCAGCAGGGATACCCCCAACTAGACCAGGTGGCCCCATCAAGCTTCTCCTTGAGTATCTCCAGGGATGGGGCCTCAACCACCTCCTTGGTCAACCTGTTCCAGGGCTCCACCACCCTCCCAGTCAAGAACTTTCTCCTCATCTCCAACCTAAATCTGCTTTTCTCCAGTTTGAAGCCATTTCCCCTCGTCCTGTCACTGGAGACCTTTCTAAACAGGTTCTCCCCACCCTTCCTGTAGCCCCCTTCAGATCCTGGAAGCTGCTCTAAGGTCTCCCCGGAGCCTCCTCTTCTCCAGGCTGAACAACCCCAGCTCCCTCAGCCTGTCCTCGGAGCAGAGGGGGTCGCCATCCTGTTCCTTCTCCACTGACCAGTCCACCCATCCGATCCCTACCCTTCCAATTTGGCAAGCGGGATGTTGTGGGGGGACAGAGGGGTTGGGGGGGGAGAATTTGGGGTGCTGGGGGGGTCTCACCTCAGAGCAACCAAGATGTTTTGGTGGAACCACATCCAAGACCCTACACAAACCTAGGTAGATCAACCCATAGGTCATCCCTTATCTACCGCCCTACTCGCTCCATCATTGAAGGCCACCTAGAACCCCTTAAAAAGGGGGGGGGAACCCATTGATAGCCCCCCAGGTGGACTCACCCAGGACGTAGATCTTGCCCTGGTAGACGGTGACCCCCAGGGCGCTGCGGCGGCACCTCATGGGGGCCACGAAGGTCCAGGTGTCGCTCTCCACCTCGTAGCGCTCCGTGCTGTTCAGCTGGTCCGTCCCGTCGTACCCCCCCATGGCGTAAATGCAGTTGTTGAGGGCGCACACCCCTGTGAGGGGGGGGGGACATATAATTATAAGACCCCCCCCCAATCACCTTAACACCCCTTTATTGACCTTATCACCCTTTAAATGAACTTAATGCCCCTTTATCGACCTTAACGCCCCTTTATTCACCTTAACACCCTTTTATCACCCTTAACACCCCTTTATTCACTTTAATACCCTTTTATTCTCCTTGAAACCCCTTTTATTCACCTTAACGCCCCTTTATTGATCTTAAAATCCCTTTATTCACCCTTAACACCCCTTTATTGCCGTTAACACCCTTTTATTCCCCTTAACACCCCTTTATTGATCTTAAAACCCCTCTATTCACCTTAGCACCCTTTTATTCACCCTTAACACCCCTTTATTGATCTTAAAACCCCTTTATTCACCCTTTATTCACCCTTAATACCCCTTTTTTTCACCTTAACACCCCTTTATTGACCTTAACAGCCTTTTATTCATCCTTAGCACCTCTTTTATTCACCTTATCACCCCTTTATTCACCCTTAACACTCCTTTATTCACCTTAAGACCCCTTAATCCACTTTAACACCCCTTTATTCACCCTTAATACCCCTTTTTTTCACCTTAACACCCCTTTATTGACCTTATCGCCTTTTTATTCACCTTAACACCCTTTTATTCACCTTAAGACCCCTTAATCCACTTTAACACCCCTTTATTCACCCTTAATACCCCTTTTTTTCACCTTAACACCCCTTTATTGACCTTATCGCCTTTTTATTCACCTTAACACCCTTTTATTCACCTTAAGACCCCTTAATCCACTTTAACACCCCTTTATTCACCCTTAATACCCCTTTTTTTCACCTTAACACCCCTTTATTGACCTTATCGCCTTTTTATTCACCTTAACACCCTTTTATTCACCTTAAGACCCCTTAATCCACTTTAACACCCCTTTATTCACCCTTAATACCCCTTTTTTTCACCTTAACACCCCTTTATTGACCTTATCGCCTTTTTATTCACCTTAACACCCTTTTATTCACCTTAAGACCCCTTAATCCACTTTAACACCCCTTTATTCACCCTTAACACTCCTTTATTCACCTTAAGACCCCTTAATTCACTTTAGCACCCCTTTATTGACCTTATCGCCTTTTTATTCACCTTAACACCCTTTTATTCACCTTAAGACCCCTTAATTCACTTTAGCACCCCTTTATTGACCTTATCACCTTTTTATTCACTTTAACACCCTTTTATTCTCCTTAAAACCCCTTTTATTCACCTTAATGCCCCTTTATTGCCCTTAACACTCTTTTATTCACCCTTAAAAGCCCTTTATTGACCTTATCACCTTTTTATTCACACCCCTTTTATTCACCCTAACACCCCTTTATTGATCCTAAAACCCCTTTATGGACCTTAACACCCTTTTATTCACCCTTAAAACCCCTTTATTGACCTTAGCACCCTTTTATTGACCGTAACACCCCTTTATTCACCTTAACACCCCTTTATGGACCTTAACACCCTTTTATTCTCCTTAACATCCCTTTATTCACCTTAAACCCCCTTTATTCACCTTAACACTCTTTTATTCACCTTAACACCCCTTTATGGACCTTAACACCCTTTTATTCACCCTTAAAACCCCTTTATTGACCTTAGCACCCTTTTATTGACCGTAACACCCCTTTATTCACCTTAAGACCCCTTAATTCACTTTAGCACCCCTTTATTGACCTTAACACACCTTTATTCACCCTTAACATCCCTTTATTGATCTTAACACCCTTTTATTCACCTTAACGGCCCTTTATTGATCTTAAAACCCCTTTATTCACCCTTAGCACCCCCTTTATTCACCTTAACACCCCTTTATTCACCCTTAAAGCTCCTTTATGGACCTTAACACCCCTTTATGGACCTTAAAACCCCTTTTATTCACCTTAACACCCCTTTATTGACCTTATGACCCCTTTATTCACCCTAACACCCTTTTATAAACCCTTAACACCCCTTTATTCACCTTAACACCCCTTAATTCACTCTTAGCACCCCTTTATTCACTTTAACACCCCTTTATTCACCTTAACACCTCTTTATTCACCTTGTCACCCCTTTATTGACCTTAACACCCCTGTATGGACCTTAACACCCTTTTATTCACCTTAAAACCCCTTTATTCACCTTAACACTCTTTTATTCACCTTAACACCCCTTTTTTTGGTCTAAAAACCCCTTTATCGACCTTAACACCCTTTTATTCACCCTTAACAGCCCTTTATGGACCTTAACACCCTTTTATTGCCCTTAATACCCCTTTATTGATCTTAAAAGCCCTTTATTCACCTTAACGCCCTTTTATTCACCCTTAAAACCCCTTATTGACCTTAACACCCTTTTATTCACCCTTAAAACCCCTTTATGGACCTTAACACCCCTTTTATTGCCCTTAACACCCCTTTATTGATCTTAAAACCCCTTTATTCACCCTTAACACCCCTTTTATTCACCTTAACACCCCTTTATTCACCCTTAACACCCCTTTATTGCCCTTAAATGACCCCTTTATTCACCCTAACACCCTTTTATAAACCCTTAACACCCCTTTATTCACCTTAACACCCCTTAATTCACTCTTAGCACCCCTTTATTCACTTTAACACCCCTTTATTCACCTTAACACCTCTTTATTCACCTTGTCACCCCTTTATTGACCTTAACACCCCTGTATGGACCTTAACACCCTTTTATTCACCTTAAAACCCCTTTATTCACCTTAACACTCTTTTATTCACCTTAACACCCCTTTTTTTGGTCTAAAAACCCCTTTATCGACCTTAACACCCTTTTATTCACCCTTAACAGCCCTTTATGGACCTTAACACCCTTTTATTGCCCTTAACACCCCTTTATTGATCTTAAAACCCCTTTATTCACCCTTAACACCCCTTTTATTCACCTTAACACCCCTTTATTCACCCTTAACACCCCTTTATTGTCCTTAAAACCCCTTTATTCCCCCTTAACACCCCTTTATTGCCCTTAACACCCCTTTATTGCCCTTAACACCCCTTTATTCACCCTTAACACCCCTCTATTCACCCAAATTCCTGCCCCCGGGGGGGTTGTGTCACCTCCCCCTGTCACTTGGAGGGGGGGAGGACAGGACCCCAGCACCCTGAGACCCCCCCAAGCACCCCAGACCCCCCCAAGTACCCTGAGACC